CCAGAGGGCCTTAAGAAGAACTTGGAACATACAGAGCAACACCAGTCTGTGGATTCACCTTGGCCATATAAAGCACTCCTGTCACAGAGAGGAAGGCTGCCCTTAGATTTAAGGCCCTGGACTCTAGCTCAAAATACCTCTGTTACATTTTTGGATCTGTTGTAGACTTCTTTCTGTGACCTTGGGTAAATAGTGTAATCTCTCTGTGCCTCAGTTCTCTGCCTCTGAAATAGCAATGAATAACCCCCTTTGTCTGCTTGGTGCTTTTCGATGAGAAGGTCTTTAGAGAAGTGAGTGTCTCTGATTATGTGCCAACCCAGCACTCAGTATCATGGGGCTTCAAGGTGCTTTTGTGAAGCAAATAATAATGACAGTGGGACAGAAGTCTGTAGTTAATACAGCCCTGCAAATGGCTCCAGGCATATCCAGAGAGCTGAGCTGCAAATTGGCTGCATTAGATGTAAAGCATGTCTAAACATATGTACTGTTTAACGGCTAGACTGTTTTCGATGGTTACACTTGCTAGAATTCATGCTGTTCCACTTACTCACTTCATTACATTAGGCACCTCTGATGTAGGCCAAAAAATGGCCTGTATTTGTGTATGTGGGGATATATAGACCTGCTGGATTACTCAGTAGGGTGCAAATAGAGTCTTGCCTTTCTCCTTGATGGGGTCTAAAGAAAATGTTACTGAGGCCTTCCCTGTTGTAGCTAACATGGGTGTTTGGGTTGCTTTTGATGGATTAGTGCTTTGCTGAAACATCTAGCATTGGCATAAGTAACTGAAAATTGATTCCACAGTAAATCAGCTAAGGTTGAAAATATGAAAGCTATTTTTTTGGCTAAGTTGGCAGGTATCGAAAGCTGCTCTTTACTACAGAATTCTTTACTCTGCGATGTTGCTCAGGCCAGGTCTACACTAAAGGCAAAGATCAAATCAAAATACGCAACTCCAACGATGTTAGTTATGTAGCTGGAGTTGATGTATCTTGATTTGAGTTTCCTCATCATCCCCACAGTGGGAGGCCAATGGGAGGAGATGCTTCCATCCGCTTCCCTTACTCCTTGCAGGAGCATGAGTACTGGTGCTGATGGTGGTGCCGTCTGAGTTTGATTTAGCGGGTCTTTACTAGATCAGTCATGGCAGGGTCAATCTTCCCTGGAGTGAAGACATGGCCTCAGTTTACTTTAGCAGTGCTGCTATCCATCTCCATAGTATTCAGGTGCCCTCCATGTAAAACCAATAGAAATAACAAAGTCCTTAGTAGGTTCTATGGAACTTCTGGTGTTTCTCCCTTTTGGGGATGTTTTCTGTTCGGCAATAGGTGGGGGATTTTTTAAAATTTTATTAACACCCTCATTTGTGTTTGCTTGGATGTTTATTGGGCAAAAGGGAGTATTGTGAGCATGATTCTTAGGATGGTAAAGCTCTTCCAAAGAGGAAGGTTTAGCAGTGGTTGCTAAAGATGGTCAGAATCTGGAGTTACCTGGTCACCTCTGAAAGTTTTTTTTTTCCACTGCCAGATCCCCTCAACAAAGAAGGCACTGTCTCTGGCTCTCAGATGCTGTGTCCAGGGCTTGGGGCTGCACAGCTCCCAGGGGAGTGCAGCTGTTGTGCTGGCTCACAGACTGAAATCTGATCTTCAGTGTAGCAGGGCGTGAGCCACTAATTGCTGAGAAAATTAGAACTAAATCCTGAAACTGATGCTGGAAACTGACCAGGAGCCAGGAGAAGGGCTTGAGCATGTGCCAGATGTGCTTGTGATGGCCTAGGCCGAAGAGGAGATGGGCAGCTGCATCCTGCCATTTCTGGAACCTGTGAATCGATCCACTTCAGACACAGTGAGTTACATTAGCACAGGCTGGCAGCCAAGAAGTCAGGGATCCCTTGGTCCAGGGCCTCATCCTGGTGAAGTTTCCTGGCCAGCTGGAGGAGAAAGCAAAGCAGTTTGGGAGACTGATGCTACCTGCTCTGCTATAATGCGTGAGGAACCACATATGACTCCAAGATGTCCCACCACTCTGATGACTGGGAGCTGTGCCAGAGGTAAAGACATCTCTGTGAGGATGTCAAAGCGTTTCCCTTTTCTGACTTGCATCAATTCAGTCTTGCCTGGGTTCTTCTGGAGCCAGATGCTCTTCCAGGCATCCAGTAGTGGTATGGGTGATTACATCCAATGTTCCCTCAAATTTTTTCCATCCATGTGTGGAATAATTTTTTTTCTGTGTGCCCAGGCATGTGCAGGATGTGCACCCCCAGCAGGAACTCCTGCTACTGGCTGTTGGCACTGCATGCACTCGAATCATCAGGGGGGCATTTGAATCACTCCTGGGTTGCTGCCTAAGAGCTCAGCTTACAGGGAACACTCATCCATTGAGATTGTGTGTCATTGTCACGCTATGGGCAGTTGAGCCTGTGGCATTCTGTTACTCACAGTGGTCTCAAGTCTGTATAGACATGACCCCATCTCACCAGCTATTTGCTGCTTAATACCTGAGCTCTCTTCTTTATATTCACATGAACACTGATTTAACAGGAGAGGTAGCTGCGTCCCACAGTAGCAGAGTAGGAGGTGAACAAGTCTAATTCCTGTCCCATCAGTCATGGGCGTGTCTCTCTTCTAGACCAAGTTGCTTGAAGACTTCAGAGTTCTAGGATGTCAGGAATGTAATCTTAGAGGAATGGACTGGACAAAGCAATGGATCATAGAGTGTACGGAGCAATTCTACACTTTCTAGGAAGATGCACCTGCAAGCAGGTCCTTTCTGTCCCTTTGGGCCTGATTTTGGTAACTTAAAGACCAATCACAGCTAGTCCCTTCCACTCCTCTTCATCCCTCACTCACACGACAAGAAAATGACTCCTCGCAAGTTAGAGTGTGTACGCAGAACACCCAAAACTCCAAAGAAAGCAGCACACACATCAGAGCTGTTAGTAATTTTAAAAGGTGCAAAAACAATCCACCAGTCAGAAAAGCAAATGTCTCATATACCGAAGAGCCACAAAAGAGATACGTGTCTTTACCTGCTTTCAGTTTGCAACAGAAGCAGGAGACCCTGACCTGGAGGGGCTCAGATCCCAGAACAATTATTATCCATCACAGCTTCATTCTTTGGCTACGTCTATACTGCACGATTATTTCGGGATAAGCTATTCCAGAAGAAATACTCTGAAATAGGTTATTTTGAAATAACAGGCTAGCTGTGTGGATGCTCGCATCGTTATTTCGGAATAACAAATGTTATTCCGAAATAATGCTGCTGTGTAGAAGAAATAATGCTGCTGTAAGTGATAACAGGGGTTGTATGCCATTCATCCTTCTTAGCAACTATCAAGCGTGGCTGTTTTGATATGCTGTTGTTTTACCCCCCTTTCACTAAGACATTGTTACCAGATAGAGGTCACTGCCGTGGAGTTTTGGTTTCAATGGTGAAGCTGTCTGGATACCCCTTGAACTCCTGCAGCTGGAGGTAGCAATAAATAAGGTGCTGAACAGCTCATCAAATGACTCAGTCTAAAAATAGCTCTCCCAGCAGCGTCCTCTGATGATCATCTCTCTCTGCACAACACGCACAGACTCTAAAAATAGAGGATTGTAATCAAAAAGCTGAAGACCCTTAACTACAGAGTAGAGACATTAGCAGGTGCACCAGTAATGAAGCCTCTACAAAGGCAATGAGAAGATTTTGATGAGGTTGCTCTTTTCCATTCTACTTGCTTGCCGTTTTCTGTCACAGGATATATTCTCAGCTGATGTAAAACTCATTTGGTATCGGTGGAACCAGGCTCAGTTGATATCATATGGAGATCTGTCACAACAGGATCTGTCTCATCATCTTCCCACCCCTCAGCAATGGGGTATAATTTTGCTCCTCTTTCTCCCCGTTTCTGCCCTTCACCCTACTTGAATCTTCATAGATCTTCTCCTTGAAAAACGGTCGCCTTGCCATCCATTCATTTCACCGTGTGTTGGTTTCTTAAGCCCTTCTTAGAAGACCAAATGGCTCTAAGAGCTAACTTCAATTACTAGCTATGAATACCCTGAATGAAAAAATATTCACGTAATGCAACCTCCTGCTGTCTCCGCCGGTTTCTTTATATTCAAGTCTCTCAAATACCATTGTCCTACTTCAACCTTCTGATATGTTAAATCGCTTACAATGCTTTTCTTTAGCGGCACTAAATTAAATGACAGATACATTATATAGACTGAAGAACACAGCCAACCATTCTTCTAAGCGAGGAAGCCTAGGGTTAGCTGACATAAAGGACTAAATTGAAGAATCGAGTGTTATGAAGAATATTTTTTTTTCTTTTGCAAAATGAAAGGCACTTTTTTTTCTACACGGCTGTTTTTAATCCTGGAGTTTTCGGTTTTAGAAATGATTTCCCAGCTGTTAAGTTTCAATGGAAGTCTGTAATTCTACCTTCCCAACTTTAAATTGCTAAAAGTTTTGGCACATATCAGACAGATAGCAAATAGCATAAGCCATTGAACCACCCACAATACAAACCTAACCCCTAACTAAAGGGAGCTAAGAGTAGCATAAACTTGTTTGCTTATGGCCAGCTTAGCTTATCCAGGAAACAAAAAGTGACATATGGACCAAATGTGTGAAATTAAAGTAATGACTCAGTGGGAAAGAAAATCTTTTAAAAAAAGAAAATGATTGTTATGTTGATGACACTCATAAATATTAAGAACAATTAATGGCATCAAAAGAAGGACCATAGTTAAGAATATCACCAAAGCCGTAACGAATGTGACTACCAACAGTAGCACTACCTTCAAAAGTTGATTAGTAACTGTAGACATTTAAAATGATGACCTACTTTGGGGGGGGGGGGGGACAAAGGCAACAACATAAATTGAGCTTTAATATCATAAACTAATGAATTTATGTTAGGATTTAGAAACAATTAAAACTTTAAAATCTAAGTTTAAGCTCCATTAGCTATCCTTATTGTACAATTAATCCTCATTCATTTCCTTCAGGTGCAGAAGAAATAAGAAATGGAATTTCGCCCTTCCTTTGCCATCATGCCTGGAACATTGAACGCTAATTAAGGTATTGTCTGCTCAAAATCCACCCTCTTTCACAGAGGTGAAGTCACATGTTCTCTGGGCTGTTTGAAGCTATTCCATCAGAGAAATAGCTGCACCTGTCATGAGAAAAATTAAAGACAAAGCCATTTTCTTTCAGTTTTCCCCCTGCACTTAAAAATAGGTTTTTAACCAGCAGCAGCCCATAACAGTTTACAGACCAGTTATTTGTTAGCTGGGTATAAATACTGGAGAGTTCATGATTAAGAAACCATGGATTTAAAAAACGAGGGTGAGCATGTTAATGTGGGATGCAACGAGCATATCACCTTAACTCTAGGGACGTATATTTAGAAGTGCATTAACCATTTTGCTAGCGTTCCATCCAAGGGCAGTCTGCTCCAAAGTCTACTGACACTAATGGGAAGTTTTTAATGAATGACAGTGGGCATTATCTCAGGCTAATAGGCTTGGTTTTAATTGAATGCTTTGATGGGTATGTGTATGTAGTAGCTCAGCCTTCTGCATGGGATGAATAGAAGGGTTTTTCCTAGGGTTGGCATGGCAATCTATTGTTGCTTAGCACTAGGCCCTGGTCTATACTAGGGAGTTATTTCAAAATAATTCCTTTTATTTCGAAATAGCAAGCGGAGCGTCCACACCACCAAGCCCATTATTTGGATATAACAGGCTGGTTGTTTCAAAATAATAACTCCTGCTTTCCATGAAGAATAACTCTAGGGCTCACCAAATGAAAGTAATAGGCAGCAGGTTTAAAACAAACAAAAAAGAAGTTTTTCTTCACTCAGCGCACAGTCAACCTGTGGAACTCCTTGCCAGAGGATGTTGTGAAGACTAGGACTTTAATAGGACTCAAAAAAGAACTAGATAAATTCATGGAGGTTAGGTACATCAATGGCTATTAGCCAGAATGGGTAGGAATGGTGTCCCTAGCCTCTGTTTGTCTGGAAATGGGTGACAGGAGAAGGATCATGTGAGGATTACCTGTTGTGTTCACTCCCTCTGGGGCATCTGGCATTGGCCACTGTGGGCAGACAGGATACTGGGCTAGATGGACATTTGGTCTGACCCAGTATGGCCACTCTCATGTTCTTATGTTCTTAATGCTTATTTCAAAATTAGTTATTTCAAAATAGCGGCAGTGTGGTCGCACCACTGCTGCTATTTCGAAATACCTACTTCCCAGAGTAATTTGAAGTAATTACTCCCCAGTGCTTCCTGGGGCTCTAAGTCAAGGTAGTGTATCCACATTAAGAGAGCCTTCCTCAGATTAATATCAAGGCTTCCCTGTAATGTGGAAAATAGATTATTTCAAAATAATTTCCTAGTGTAGACATGCCCTTAGAGATCTCTATCAGGTTGTGCTAGATGCTGGACAAATATATGGTAATCAGCAGCCCCTGCCCCAAGGAGCTTACCACCCTGCTCTTTATATCTTCCAGGAACAGTACAATTATTAACTACCGAATCCTTACAACAGTCAAGCAAAAGTCCTACACAGTGGAATAAAAATGATAACTTAGAAAAGTGTTTTCATTAGACCATTCTACAACATTTAACAGTAAGCCACGTCTCTGATATTGAGGTTTGTAGGATGAGTCAGAAAACCCAAAGAAAGGGAATTCTATGGGATCCATTGATGGCACTATAAGATCCTCTGGTGAACACAGGGTCGGATTAAGACATGCTATGTCAAGTTTAACAGGCCTCACAGCATTACTAAAAAATGCGTAGTATTTTAACAGAAAGGACAATGAAAATAAAAATACTAAAGTTTCATATTTGCATATATACCAGTACTTAGGCGAGGATGCAACTAAAAACTAGTAATTTTTTTGTAGTGAGAGGCCCTCAGGTAATCTGAAGCCCTAAGATGTAAGTTGCTTAACTTGTGCATAAATTTGGCACGGGGTGAACAGATATGGAACGACAGCTTTGCTCAGAGTAAATACCCTCTTATTCCAAAGCTGCTGGCAATAGGGTTCCTTAGAGAGTACTGCACCTCGATGTGTGGCCCAGAGAGAGTTTAATGGATTTACTGAAGGTTGCATCGCAAACCAATGTTAACAGCGACATTAGAACTCAGAAATGTCTGGTTCCTAGTCTCACAAGATAACCAGTAAGCCTCAATTGGAGTATTGTGTCCAGCTCTGGGTGCTGCATTTCAGGAAAGATGTGGAGAAATTGAAGGGGGTCCAGAGAAAAGGAACAAACATGATTAAAGGGCTAGAAAACATGAGCTGTGAGGGAAGACTGAAAGAAGTGGGCTTGTTTAGTTTAGAAAAGAGAAGACTGAGAGGGGAGTTTTCAAGTACCTAAAAGGGTGTTACAAGGAGGAGGGAGAAAAATTGTTCTCCTTGACCTCTGGTGATAGGACAAGAAGCAATGGGCTTAAACTGCAGCAAAGTTGGTTTAGGTTGCACATTAGGAAAAACTTCTAATCGTGTTAATGTCAGGGTGGTTAAGCACTGGAATAAATTGCCAAGGGAGGTTGTGGAATCTCCATCACTGGAGATATTTAAGAGCAAGTTAGATAGACACCTGTGAGGGATGATCTAGACGGTGCTTGGTCCTGCCATGAGGGCAGGGGACTGGACTTGATGCTCTCTTGAGGTCCCTTCCAGTTCTAGTGTTCTATGATTCTATGCTTTTATGTTGCATCTGTCAGGTACATTAAAAAAGTGGTAAAGCATTTCCTACCCTCTGATGCAAAACCTCATGGTTTTCAAACAGAACATATGAAGGGTTTCACACTTCCAATGGATGACTGAAACACATAAGCTGTGATACTTCAAATGAACTAGTATGAGTGGTATAGATTGGCATTAAGCACTGGAATAAATTGCCAAGGGAGGTTGTGGAATCTCCATCACTAGAGATATTTAAAAGCAGGTTGGACAGACACCTGTCAGGGATGATCTAGACAGTGCTTGGTCCTGCCATGAGTGCAGAGGACTGGATTTGATGATCTTTCAATGTCCCTTCCAGTTCTAATGTTCTATGATTCTATGACTGGCATTAACAGCTCTCTGAGAGTTTCTGCATTGCTGTGTATTGCTGTGTATTGTTGTTGCTGTGTATTGTAGAATCAAGAGAATATCTCCACCACTTCCTTTAATTGCAGCTTTCAAGACAATAAGGATAGAAGAATAATGTACCATACAATGGAATATGATTTTGCAAACTTCTTGCATGAATAAGACAGAATAGCTAAAGTATGGAATTAGTAGGTAGCTTCCCAAGTGCTAAAGGTCCTTTTTTATATTAAGTTTTGTTATCAATGACCATGCAATGTTTTGACCTGAATGAAGAAAAAAGGAGCTCGAAAAATCAGCCAGAATGATTCAGCTGCATTTGCACAACCCATGTATATTGAACATGACAGCTTTGAGGAGCTAATGTCCTTCCATTTAACAGGGCCAATTCCATGCAATCATGTTAATGTCTCTTTGAACCTCCAGTGAAATAATGTCCATGTCACTTCTAATCTCAGGCCAAAAACAATGGCAAATCATTCTTGTTGCCTCCCCTGTGAACTGGCTATTAAAAGCCACAACATTTTTTCCAGGTCTTTTGTTTAGGACGTTCATTAAAGATCCCCCTTCTAAGCTAAACTCTCTTTCTTGACTTAAGCAGAGAGTTTGGTCCTTTACTTGCCAATTTCTAGTTTCTCTAATTCCACAAGTGTAGGGCCTGTGTCCTGGGGATCCTACCTCTAGCTGGGAAGGTCTGACCATGGTTCACAGCCAGATCTTGCTTACACATCACTTTTCCTCCCTGGCCACTGCTCATCCCAACTTATCCTTTGTTCACTTTCATGCTCCGGCCTGCTACACAGTCAAGAGGGGCTGTGGGGCTGGCAGTGGAGAGCTGCATGGCTGAAGCTCATTCCAAATCTTCATGCAAACAAAGGTTTATATGCATGAAACAAACAAAAGTTTATATGCATGAAACAAAGGTTTATATGCCATTGATCATTGACCATAGTTACATAAGCTGGGAAGCCAGAGGGGGCTCTGGAGCTATCAAGGCAGTGCATTCTAATGGAATGAACACAGAGTTAGGGATTAGGAAGACTTGATTTCTAACCCGGGATCCATTATTGATTGGCTCTGTGGCCTGGAACAAGATATTTTTAGTCTCTGACTCCATTTCACCTTCCGTAAAATGCCCCTCATAATGTTTATGCAACTTGGAGAGGTTTTGAGGTGGGGGTAGGGAGGTTATTAGGTTAACAGTGTTTATAGTGTTTTAAAAATGTCGGATGGGATTTTCACAACTACTCAATGGGAGCAGAGTTAGGCTGAAAATGTGCACTTTTGAGTATCCCTTTGTAAAGCATCATCATGGGCGGTCGGTGCAGATAGGGCGGGGGGAAGCAGGCCCCCAGCCCCACCTTCAGCCCTGCCCCCTCTGATGAGGCCCCGCCCCACCCATAGGGAGGGGATGAAGTGGGGCAGTATGCCCCCCCCACCACAGGAGGGGAGGAGAAGGGAGGAGGCAAGTATGTGTGTCCCAGATTTCCCAGCCGCCTGAGTACCGGGGAGGGAGAAGGCCACGTGGTTCCAGCCTCCCCGGTCCCCGGAGCACCAGAGAAGGCAGGCCTTGGGGGCAGCAATACTCCGCACCACAACTGCAGCAGGCACTATGGGAGGGACTACACCTGACGGTTTGGGAAGGCAAAGCCTCCCAGCCAGGCTACCTTACGCCCAGGACCATCGTATAAATACAGAGCAAAATGGACACAGATCAGACACCAAGACCAGTCACATTCAAAAACCAGTAGGAGAGCAGTTCAGCCCCTCTGGGCGCTCAATAACAGAGCTGAAAGTTGCCACACTTGAGCAAAATGCCCTCAAAACCAGACTGTCGCGTGAAAGGGCAGAGCTGGAATTCACATGCAAACTGGACACGGTCACTCTGGGTCGGAGTAGGGATGGGAAGGGACTGGCTTACTTCAGAAAGTCATCTCCCCCCTTGGGTCTTCTCACCTTCTCCTCCACT